CAATAAAAATCTTTCAAATGTGACTAGTTTTCCTCAAAAAAACTTTGTCTTCAAAATAAGGGTGCGTCTTATATTCCGAAAAATACGGTATAAGTAGATGTAGTTTCATGTTACAATTTGAAGTCATTCTAGAAAGGGTAATTTATATTTATTTCATTATTTTTTTGGTGGTTACGAGGTCAGTCAAATTGACCAATTCCATTTTGAGATAGGGTAGAGAAAATAACAGATAAACTATTAAGTTTTACTGAAGAAAAAAACAAAAAACATTTGAAATGCATTTAGGAGGTTTTAGGGATTATAACAAGGAAATCTGAGATTTTGGAAATGAAGAAAAGTATTTTTAATTTTAACATGAAAATTACTTTGCACACAGAGTATTCAAAACAAATACTCAATATATTCTTGGACAAATCTTTATTTTATTTTATTAAAAATACTTTACTAAAAAACATAATTTTTTGTATGTGAAAAAATTAAAACATTAACTGAAAGACTGCCAAATTGTGTGAAGATATACACACTATATTGAAAGTTAGAAGTATTAAATCTAAAAAGACTTTTTACAAGTACAAAGAGGTCACATGGTCGGTCAAATTGACAGAGCCCATGTTGAGAGAGTTAAGAGCCCAAGGGAAGAGATGAAGAAGAGGGTAGGCATACAGAAAAGGTGAGACCAGTTCTGGCTGAGAGCATTGACAACCAGAGTTGAAGGATGAGAAACAGAGGACCAGAAGAGAAAGATTGGAGTTGAGAGGGTGTGCCCAACTGAGAGCAACAAGAAGAACCTGATGTGAATGAGCCCAGAAGAGTAGGTCCAATGCCAAAAAGCAAAGAATGGGTGCCCCTTGATGGTTGATGTAAAAAATGATTGTGGATATGTTTTAGAGGATTGTGATTGACTGATCCACCCGAAGGGTCAATAAATGGGAACATACCCGACAAACAACGAGAAATTCAAGCACAATGATGAGGGGTGAATGCTTTTGTTGTGTCCAAATGTCAGAAGTCATGACACCATTGAGAAATGTGCCTCAATCTGAGAGGGAAGCATTGCTGAAGAGATAGATCTGGTTTGGAAGTAGTATTAGCATAATCCAGCTACCATGACAATTCCTTGAAGAGAGGAGAGGTTCACAATCAAAGACGATGGAACCAAGAAAGAATCCCTTGGATCTGCAAGGTCCACTGGAAGAGATGCATATGTGCATGCCTCAAAGGAATGAGGGGTTCCAAGAAAACCAGAGTCCCCAAATGCAAAAGAACCTATCACACAGGATGAGAATGAGAAGCTCAAGTCTTGGTGACCTGATACTCCATAGCTCACAGGCTGAGCTATGCTGAGACAAGAGATGAAGAAAATGCTCAAATGTACCAAATTTTGAGTAGGTGTAAGAAAGGAATTGGATATTTTGACAAGGCACTCCAGCCAAGTAGCCTCTTGAGAATGGGCTAACAGAAGTCAATTGTCTAAGAAAAGGAATGACAGCCACAAGCTGTGAGGATAGTGAGCAAAGGCTCTTACGATACAAATAAATAAGAAACTGGCCAAGGCTATATTGAAGAGAACAGCAAGAAATAGGAAGATGTGTAAGAAGTTGTCTAACACATCAACAATGACAAATCACAGACCAGATGAAAAAGATTATGGATGTATTCGGAAGAAGGAAAAAAAGTAAATTGGAAATGGAGCAAAGAAAAGTAGGAAGAGAGACCATGAAAGAGTAAATGAGACAACGTGCTAGCAAAGAGAAAGAGACAGATACTTACACAACCTAATGAAAAAGGATAGTCACTAACAAGAAGGGTGATGCACCAAAAACTGGGTAGTAGTAGAATGAGAAATAGGATCCCTGGAACTGGAAGGGTGGGGGTAGACTGATCCAGATGAGGAACAGTAATCAAAGAGCAAAGTTGAGAAAGAAGAAAGACCTGGGAAGATAACAAATGTAATGCCAAGAAAAAGAATGAAGTTATCGCAAGTGCATAGGGGGGAGGGGTATTGTGCATGGAGGTTTTGTCACCCTCTCATTGGTGGAGGGCTATTGTTGCATGATGACATCATCATGCACCAGTGCACCTCATGTTAAACACATGAATTTAGAGTTAGATCAAGGATAGTGACATGCAAATCTCATAGGCAGATGTGTGAAGGAAATAGAATTTCTGTATGAGGAGGCGAGTTATCATCTCAGAATATTAAAATTTGATTTATTAATGACATTTTGGTGCTAAGTTTATTCACATACATTAATAATAAAATACTTTAATTAAATTTTGAATGTAATTCTACGAAAGGTCATGACTTGCATTTATAACCTACCCATAGAGAGAGGGTTAATTAGAAAGCCAGTTAAATTATGAAGGTTATAGGATATTGTTTGTTTCATTTGTGTTATTATTCTGTGTTCTTATGTGCCTTCTTGAAATAAATAAAAATTATTCAGTGTAGTAGTAGTACCATCATTACAAAATACTGAAAGACCAAATGTAAGTACAAAAAGTCTTGTTTTTTATGTTTAATTTTTTATTTATTATTATAAAAGTAACTATAATGTAAAAAATAGAAATTCATATTTTAAATAAAGTTAGATTAGGTAAGATAATGTGAAATAATAATAATAAATATGTATCTCCATAAGTAACTTGAGCTACAGGTTTGAGTGGTGCTTACAAGGTCAGTCAAATCAACCAAGTCGATGTAAAGTCAGGGCAGAGAAAACAACAGATAAAATACAGTTTTACTGAAAAAAATGTTCGATATTCATTTATGAAGTTTTAGTATTTATGAAAATGAAATCTGAAGACTGTAAGATGAATAAAAGTATTTTTAATCTTAACACTCTGACTTCATATATTCATGGACAAATCCTTAGTAAAAATACTTAATTAAAAGGTTAGAATGTTTACTGAAAGCTTGCCAAATATTGGTGAAGATACATTAAGTACTTTCAGAATTAGGTATGGTTTCATGGTGGTTACAATATACGAGCCCATGTCCAATATGGTTAAAAGAAATTAAAAAAAATGTTGGAAAATGAAAATAATAAATTTAAATAACATATTAAAAAATGTAAAATTTTAACATATATTTGTACTAAGTGCTAGTAATGTATATTTATAAAGATTTAGCTGATGTTTTGATGAGTTTTAGTGTCCAGAGATTGTGGATAGTATGATTAGTATAAAGTATTGCTAGAAGGCTATAGCATGGCTGGAATTATATAAGGAACTTATTCATGCTTTATTTATTATAACTAGTTTTGTTTGGCTAGCACATGGTTCTGTAAATAAATATATAAATTTATAAGTTTCAACACAAAACCCCACAGACATAATTAAACAGCTCACGTATACTGAACAACTCACTTGCTGAGCACCTTCCAAATGATGACCTGCAGATGATCTTGGTTGCATAGCGACAAAATTTGGTTGTTCAGAAACCTGGGTAGCCATAGTAGCTCCATGGCTTTGCACAACTTGAATCAATTCTTCATTATGGCCATGGTTTACCTTCAGAAAATGTTGTACACAATATAATCTTACTTTACTGACTTAAAAATTGTAAATATGTTAAGTGCTTCAATTTTTTTAACACACCAAAACAAAGTGAAACAACAGACCTTGTTTCCCTAAATTTGAAGATTAGTAATATATTTTGATATTACATTACCGTATACTACTTCATGTAAATTCACACAGTGTCAATTATACTCTTAAAAAAAAATTTCCATTAGTTAACCACCGCTATTTGAAAATAGTGCAGTAATTATAATGACTTTGTTTAAATGTTTCTGGAAGTACAGCCCAATCACAAGAACACACATGGAATACCTAATTATACTAAACTACGACATTAACGATTGAGTAACATATCTTGCTCCTCAGTCTTACGTACCTGACCGTTTGGATCATAATGATAGCCCTGCAGACTGGAACCATCAGCGGAATGAGTAACATAGTACGTAGTGGCCCCATCGGCAGATGGTTCTACTCCAGACTGCTCGTTTAAAGCAGCCACTAAGTGTGTACCTTCGGGCATTTGATGAAATACAGTAGCTCCTCCAGAAGAAGGGGTTCCATTCTGTATCTCTTTGTTAAAAGATGCTAGATAATTTTGGATATCAGTTATTGTTTCTTCTTCAGCAGCATGAACTTCCCTAGCTTGACCATCCATCTCGCAAGATATTTTATAAATGCTAAAAATCTGCAAATAGTCCAAATGGAAAAATCTGTAATGCAACTTACAAGAAAATAGTTTGGTTGTGACACTTAAGCAATATATGGTGTATAGACCAGTAATAAAGTCTATCTATTAGAACAGAAGATGAATTATGATCTTAACAGTATTTATAATACAGAGCATTTAGAAGTTTTATAAAATAACTTGAACTTTTGAAGATTTCTATTTAGTTAATAAGTTAGACAGACTATTCAATAAAAATGTATTTCTCTCTACATACTCAAGAGGAAAAGAATGCTGAAACCTAAACATAAAGGACAATCGTCTTAAGTTCATGAAGTTTAAACTGACAGATAGAAGGTTTATAGAGCTTTAGCAAGGATAAAGAGATGTTTGTTTGCTTGAAGTTAAGCACAAAGCTATTCAATGGGCTATCTGTGCTCTGTCCACCACAGGTATCAAAACCCGCTTTCTAGTGTTATAAGTCCGCGAACATACCACCGGGCTCAGGGGTAAAGAATTGGTTGAAAAGAAATTTAAAAGGGTTCATGAGAAATGAACAAATGTCAGTTTTATTATTTTTGAAGTACACCCACTTTTGGTAGATTAACAGAGGAGGAACTTTGATAATCAGTGAGTTATTTTTATTACTCCTATTTTTAATGGTGATTATAAAAACTGCCTGAGAAATCAAACAAGTTAAATTTACTTCTTTAGTGAGAAAACTGAAAAAAAAAACAGTTTTATAAATAATTTAGTGAAATCTGATATCATAAATAAAACCTAATGTGAATTCACAAAAAAGAAAATATTTCCTTACTCATTCTTTCTTCTTCAAGAGCGTTAACTGTTATATGGATGAAGATGAGAGTATAGACATGATGTAATTAAGATTTACAAAAAAGCTTTTGATAAGGTGATGCACAAAAGATTGGCCGAGAAAAAAAACCTGGTTGGAGAAAGACTTGTTAATTGAGCTATAGGGTGGTTGGATGGGACAAAGTAAAAGGCTGTTATTAATGGAGACCAGTAAAACTTGCCTATTGTTACTAGCGGAGTGCCTGAGAGGTGTGCTTGGGTCCTTTTTTTTTTTATTATTTATATACGGATATTAATTGGGGCATAATTAGAAAATTTTGTTGATGCTATTAAACTTGGATATTTATAGCTGAACTGAAGATATTACACAATTACTCTAACCAGCTTGCAAGTTGAACAAATATATCACAAATGATCTTTAATTATAGTTGGAGCAAAGTACATCAATTGGGTTATAATTTGGACCACCCATTCAATACAGAATGGGAACCAACTCAACAGAAAATTACCTTGACATATTGATGGATAAACCACTCAATTCATCAAAGCAGTACTTAATCCTAGCAGTAAAGCTAACAGAAATATCAGTAAGAACTAAAGATTATATAATGTGTCAACCACACTACATATCCTATATCCAGTGCTGGTAAGGTCTATCTCCAAGTATCAAGGCTCATCCGACCGGCTATCTTTTCAGGCACACTATGCTACCTTATTAAAAGTAAAAAAACAAAAACATTTTTTGCACAACCAATGATAAAATCTTTATTAGATATTTCAGCTGGCTAGTTTCGATAACACAGTCACCATAAATAAATACCTATCCCAAAGACTAGAGAGTTACTTGTATCACTCCCATTTTTAAAGGTGGTTATAAGAGTTGCTTTCAAAATTACAGGCCAGTTAGACTTTAATTCTGTAATGGAAACAAACACAAGAAAAAGCAGTGCTGATGATGGTAACTGTGATAACGAAACTAGTCAGCTGAAAAATCTAATAAAGATTTTATCTTTTACTTTGTCCGAAAATTGTTTTTCCTCATTATACATAGTAGCATTTGCAGACCTGCCAACATTAAATTTTGAAAAATAGCATTCCTTACCAAGATAGAGCAAAAACAGTAAAAAAAACGAAAATTGTGTCAATACTAATTATACCAACACTTGTTTGCTGGCTGACTGAGCAATTGATCAGTCTGATAGATGAAAACTTGCTGCTGAAGACAATTCATTGTACTGGCCCAAGGTGCATCCATTGCAATGAATGGCTTGAATTTTCTGAGATATATCTGTTACTTCTACATGTTTCATAGTTACGTCCTGAAGTGGGAACATGGCCTTCATATATTCCAATGCAGTTTCATAAAATTTCTTGCATCTTCATAGAAAGAGAACTGACTTTATCGAGCTTTGCAAGGAAAGGCTCAATTACCAAGTTCTCATTTTTTAACTGAAGTTTTCTGTCTATGAAATTCAAATCCAAAGTATATGGACAATTCAAAATTACATACGATTCTCTGCAAGCAATGAATAAGTGGGTCCTCAGACTAGTTTCAAATTATACTTGTCAATTTGAATACAACTGTTCAGAAATAATATAACACATTTTCTTGGTACAAGTAACTTGTGAAGTCTTTCCTCTCACAAATAAGTATCCTGGTGATTTGATGGTCAGATGTGTCCTGTACCTACTCACTTCCCTTGCAGTTTTGTCTGCTACTTCCTTAGAAGATCCAGATCCCTGCCCAGGAAACACATTGACAGACTGCCTCTGCTTGGAAGTTTTATCTTTATATTTTTATAACCAACCACTGATTCCTCTAATCTGCATGGAAAAGATTGGGATTAGAAAGTAATGCATTTACTATTTTTTCCTTGTTGTCATTGAAGTATGTCAATACTGTCAACATAATTACAAACATCAGTAGACCAGTTGAAAGCCCGAGTTTTAATGTTACTCACAATTTGCTCAGTTTCACTGCTAGCCATTTCTCCAACTACTGAAGAGGATTTGTTCTAGAGCATCCATATCTTTTAGCAATTTCCAAATTTGGAAACATTTTGGTAATAATTTTTGAAGTATGGTCTGAAACTGCCAAAGGAAGATTGTGTTCCACAATGAAGGAGATGAATAAACATTCAGCTCTGATCAGGTATTGGGTTTTACGAAAAATGAGTCTAATTTCTTAATTCCAAATGGCCTCGAACAATTTCGCCAGTGTTTTGATATCTTTTCTTATGTCATTTTCACCTCTGTGAGCAATGAAAAAATGACAGAAACAAATTGCACATCTTGCACAATTCATACCCTCTAAGCATGATACAATATCATTAAATTTTTTCAAATACTCGTGCCTAAACTTTTCTTTGTTGGAATCACTGGGGATCAAGCAGAACCTCATTTTTCAACCATTTTCCTCACCAAAAATTATCAGCACACCCTCGACACTTACTACTTACATGGTTTTTAATAGACAATTTCAAGCATTTGTAAGATTGAGATGCAAAGTGGAGAACGATGAATTATTTCCAGAAAACTATTAGTAGAAACAAATTTTAGTGAAAGAAGTCCAGAATTTTAAATAAAATAACACTTCATACTAGCGTAAAATGAAAAAACAAATCTGAACATTTATGCCTAAATTGTAAGAACTGGCAGGTCTGCATTTGAAGTGCTATTTATATTAGCAGCTTGTTACACAACAACTGTTACGGTGTTGAAAGAATTAAGTAGATAAGTGTAGTTTCTTCACAAGTTTTATTTCATCAGTTATAGTAAGGATTTTTTAACACATTATTATTTATTTAATGCCATTTATTGTTAATTATTTTCCTGAATTAACATGTTGATTATTCAGAAGAACTGGCAAACCAGCAAGGTTTATTTTCAGGCACACTGATCACGAGTCAAGAGGTAATTATCTTTTTAAAATTACTAATTAGGCCTTATTGGAATACAGTGTACAGTTTTGGTATCCTTATCTAGAAAATAATATACATATTTACTGGAAAAGATTCAGAAGAAGGTTACCAGTATGAATTCAGGAATAGATGGGTTATATTACAGAGATAGGCTTAGATGTTTTAAGTTAATTTTCTCTAGAGGTGATCTTATTTGAAGTTTACAAGACTCCCTTGGAGATCAACAGGATAAAACCTCTAATTTCTTAGTGCTAAATTCTGAAGACAATAAGAATAGGACAAAAGGACACAAGGTTAAGATTTAAAAAAAAGACATACTGAGCTCCAGTTAAGTCAGTATTTCTTTTTCTAACAGTGTGATTACTGTAGTGTTGGCAGTAGTTGGGGCCAGCACTTTGAACTACAAGTACAAGAATTTAAGAAAGGAATTATTTCCTGAAAAATAAAGAATGGCTTTTAAATTAATACTTTTCTGAAGGGTGGGTATGTGAAGACAGCCTTGAAGGATCAAAGAGCCATTGTTGCCTTCAGGTAACATCCTTAGTAATACTACTTAATGTTAAGACATAACTATAACTAATTTAACACTAACAGTGTATCAAAACTGTTATATCACTAGTATTAGGCCTAACCCTAACTTAGTAACAAAGCAATAGCATACATATATGGGGCTGCCACCTATCATATAGTACTATATTGCATCATTGGTATTTACTGTAATATAAACCATTCTTTTATTTTTTAAACAGGACATATAAACACCTAGTCTCTTTTTTTTTCAAATCCTACGATATGAAAAAGCCAAGCGCCATCTGCCTAATTTTAGCGCCATCTAGTCACTAAAGTATCGAGCCAACATGTTACCTTGAAGTTGAATGTAGGAGGAGGACAGTTTGCCGTTAGAGCTTAAAAATGGCGCAATGGCGGAGTACCTTGTGACTTCACATTATTGCGCATAATCGTTTAGGAGTACTCTTAGAGGTAAATTAAAAAACATGTATTTGTTTTAAATGAATACAAGTTAAAAAACGTCTTATTAGTGCCTAACTTACTTAAATTATCTTTCATTTCCTTCAACGGACAACAAAGCAAGCTAATCGTACTTGAAAACTGGTAGGGTAATATTTATACCGTGGTTAGTCGTTGTTGTGAGAAAACTGCTGCCGCGAAACGTACTTTGAGGGTGGACCTATACTACTGGTATTACTTTCTTTACTCCAATAAAACAGAACAAATTTAATTCAAGCATAAACTGTAAATAAAACGTGCTTTTTTGTTACTTCTCATTAAGTAATAAATTAATGGAAAAAAAATGGAAAGTTATCTAAAAAAGCAATATCCTTACCTACTAATACAAGCTTTAACGCTTGAGGGCGTTGTTAGTTCAAAGCTTCCATGATGGCGGCAACACTTGAACTATGTCTACGCATGTCTTGACGTCATGGAAAATTAACGTGGATCGATTGTAAACGCTGCAGTTGGCGCGAATTCTTTGAGACATATATATGGAAAATATTTATTTCAAAAATAAATATAGCGTTTTCTATTCAAATAGTTTTGCAAAAAATAAAACAAAAAAAATTCAAAAGTTATATTCAGATTTCGTCATTGGCGGTATCACCTCAACTATATGATTGCTGAAATGGAAAATCATGCATGTACAAATATGACTTGTAATGTAAGTGGGCTTGTCTTGTAATTTGTACAGGTAAAGGCTGTATTATAATACCAAATTTTCCTTTAACCGCACCAATTCTAAGGCAAAGAAAAAACATAGATTGAATAGATACCAAAGTTGTCCTAAAGTTTTATTTAAAACAAAATTTATTTAGAAGTTTAAACTTCAGAATTTTTTAAAAAAAATAAATATTAGAAATGTGGGTGTAGCCACATGAACCGATTAAAACGTTTTTGTTTTCACACCCAAATTGGAGTGAATTAAATATTTTATACTAGTGAGCGGATCGACATCAAAATATTCAATACTTTGGCTACTGTTTAAAATGGAATTGGTATTGATTACTTATCAAAAATATCGATTACTTTATAATAAGAGAAAAATAAGCCCTTTAAAAGAAATTACGGTAAATTGCGTGAGTACGTTTCCGTGATGAGCAGTGTGTATGAATATTGTTATTCATGATAATTACCGTGTTTTGTGTTAACCTGGTATCTTACTCAATTGATCACTTACTGCATGATTCAAAATCAAATTGATTTCATCAAAAGATATTTATTGCTGTTGCAAAGAATGTGGCACGAATGAAATCAAATATATCACATCATGAGCGCCATAATTGAGTATACTTTCAAACATGTCGTAAACACTGATTTAATTCAGGGCCATAAATAATAAGAGCCAAGTACTGTAGTGTACATTTGTCAGAGAGGGTGTATAGCATCGCAATCATGTTAAAAAACAAATCTGTTGTAATGTAGTGAAAACTATTATAGATAGCATTGTTGGTAATTTGTGGACGTTTATCTTTGATAGATCCAATATTTTATCTACATAGCCTACTGTGATTAGAGTGAACATTTTGTGTGTTGTTTTTTTTAAGTAGTCTGTATGTATAATCAACACCCATTATACTTGGCACAAATATCACTTGGCATGATATTGAACCACACATCAACAGTATTGCTCACCACTAGAAGTTGAAGATAATCTTAAACATTTTCTAAGTTAATCCTAAAAATATGGGAAATATTATGGAGTTTTGAGGTTAATGCAGCTCATGTATCACATTATACAATTTCATATTACAGTTGTAATAATACAAAATATAATGTAACATATCTATAGTTTCACAAACTACTGATCATTTATATGTAAAACTCAGATTTGTTGATCTAAATATAATTCAAATTTAATATTCCATATGATAGGTTATAATGTTTTAATAATTTTTGTTTTGCACTGTAGTGACTATACCTTTGAAAATTAGACACGAGAAACCATTGCATGTTACAGACCATGTTTTGCAAAAGAAGATAATAGCAATACTTCTTATCCTGAGGATTCAGTGGGAAATATTGGAATTGACCTGAATCATGTAGAGATTAACTATTTGGTGATATGTAAAAATATTGAAAAACAAAAGTAGGTAAAACACTAAAACCAGTCAGAGGTCAGATATGCAAACCTCTTTCTTTCATTTTTGGTAAATAAATTGAGAGTGGCAAGGTGCCTGAGGGTTAGAGAGTAGCTATACTCCAAGTTTTAAAGAGGATGATACGAGTTATTTTTAGGAATTAAAAATATAGTGGAAAAATTCTAGAAAGTTTGATAAAAGAATCTTTGCAAAATAATTTAGTGAAATATCATATAAATGAAAGCCAACATGGATTCACCAAAGATAAATCTTGACTTATTAGTCTGTTAGTGGACAAATGAAATGGTGTGGATGTGATGTACTTCAATTTTCAAAAACTTTGATGATGATGTACCACAAGAAAGATTAGCTAAGAAAACTACATTGCTAGGGGTTCAGGAAAGACTAGTTAAGTGAATTTTAGGGCGATTGAATGGAAGAAAATGAAAGATTGTTATTAATGGAGTCTAGTCCAACTGCATCATTTTTTCTTACTAATAGCATACCACAAGGGTTGCATTTATGCCTATGTTTTTTATTATTTACACTAATGATATTGAGTCACAATTAGTAAAGTCTGTTGATTATATTAAACACTTGGGTGTATCTAACAGTATTGAAGTTGTATTACTGAATCTATAGGATCATTTGATTAGTTGGTTAAATATATAGCAAATGACCTTTAATTATGTTAAATGCAAGGTAATGCATTTTGGTTATAATTTGGATCACATGTTTAATATAGATGGAAATTAACTCAATAGCATGACTAAAGAAAGGGATTTTAATATTATGGAATACAGAAATAATATTGATTTATTGTGAAAGGTTCAGAATAAAGCTTCTAGAATAATTCCTGGGATAGAAAGGTTATAAGAAGAGGTTAAGATTTAATAACTTATTGTCTCACAAAAAAAAGAAGGTAAAAGATGGATGTATACTTAAAAGATCAACTGGGGGATAAAGAGAATAAAAGGCCTTTAATTTCATGATGCTGTATTCTGAGAATAATAGAGCAAGATGATAGAAGTTTAAGATTTATTTTTCTAATAGGATGTTTGACTTATGGAATTAGTTGCCATCAATAGTAGTGGAGTTCACAATTTTACTGAAGTTTAAGAGGATAATTTATGATTTGTTTGAAAAGAAAGGTTAGGTTTAAACTTTTACTTCCTTAAGGGCTGGTGTGCAAGAATAGCCATGAAGAACTAAATGGTGTTTTGTTAGGGTATGTGGAGTATACATGTGTCTGTGTGTACTTTTATATAGCTAAACTCAACTTTAAATTTCAAGTGTGAATTAAGAGTTAATGGGACAAAATTGGTGATAAGATTTTTTAGAAATCATTTAAGCATGATTCCATATAAATAACACTGCTTTTTTGGTGTTTAATTCATATTCAAACATTTTGTTTATTGCATGTATGATACTATTTTTTTCTCTCTAATTATTGCTTTACGAATTAGAATATTTCAGGTAATATTTAAAAAATTGTTATAAGTTGTTTTCTTTTATGTTAGCTAAAGGGTGTGTTGCAACAGCGGAAGTCGCGTGATGCTGGTAACATGTGATAAGTTTCTAGAACGATCAAGAAGGCTCGAGTGAATTCGAGACGCCCTCTTTTTTAATATATAAGCCTTGTGAGTAAAACCAGCACGATAGGCAGATAAATAGAAGAAATATAGATAGATTGAAGATAGAGATAATTGAGTGAAGCGAACAGTAGGCACCGTAAGTAAAGTGTGTGAAT